GGGGGGGGGGGGGGGGGGGGGGGGGGGGAGGGGGGAGAGCATCTGTGCAGCGAAGCACCTAGGGAACAAGGGGGATTTAAAGGGCTGCATCTCCTACTTCACGAGAAAATAAAGAAATCAATTCAATGTGTACATCAAGGGTCTGTGCAGAGAAGTAGTGCAGCAAATCAGAATTTGGGTTGGGTTGGTGCCCATCAGGCAGTATTGGACACGCTGGGGTTGAGATATCAGTCTACTGTAGGGCACCACAACTTTATGGTAGGGCTATGAAATTCACGGTCATCAAGGTCTGAGCACTGCAGATTCTCCAGCCGTCCTTCACTGGTTAGCCAGGTGTGAAGCCTCTGGCCAATCAGAATCAGTAATTATTAAACTAACTACCTGGGAGAAGTGAAAACAAGGCCTGGATTTGGAATCGAGGTCCAGAGTAGAATAGCCATGCTCTATGGGCAATTTAGAGACACCAGCTTGCCTAAATGCATGTCTTTGGACTATGGGAGAACATGCAAACCCCAAGATAATGGTGCAAACTCCATGCAAATACATGGGGGGGGGGAATGGAACCCTTAACACTGGAGTTGTAAGACAACAGTGCTACTCACTGAGCTACAGTGCCTCATTTACTGTACTACATTTACTGTTTATGCTCAGTTCTCAGTGCAAATCATCGCTGCAATTACCTCTCCATTAAACAGAGAATGTGGGGACAACACAAAGTCTGATTATTCCAAACTGTTGACAAATAATTCTGGTTAACTCAGGCAGTGATTGGCCCCGTTCTGGTCGGTACGGTTACGGCGATGCTGCTGGAGGAGTGGATATTATCGATAGGAGCTGGGGGCTGTCTTGGCACGTCGGTGATGCTTTCATGCAGGGAGGGGGGATGCAGCGGAAGAGGCTACCTCTGGCGGCCCGCCGTTCGGCCTCAGTAAAGTTCGTAATGGGGGGCTGGAAGCCATGATGAACTGCGATGGGAAGCCATCATCCAGAAAACGGGGCTTTAAATCCCTCGACTGGTCATCAGATACCCCACAAGCAAAGCACATGGTGCCCTTTAACAAGGCCTCAGCCATGTGCCGTAGGAGGCAGGAAATGACATTTTCTGGCACATTCTGCTCTTATTTGTGCTTTCTGAATGGCTTTCTGCATCTTCAGCTTTTTAATCATTACGCTGGATAACCTTTAACAGGCAAATTAATCAGCCGATTTCTTAGGGGAACAATAGCATATGTTGCACAAAATGTTCTCAGCTTTAGATAATCTTTCGTAATTCCTTTATAATGGCTTGTTAATGAATAACTGCCAAAAATGAATAGTCTTTTCATGCGCCTTAATAAACGCTGGCTCTTCCCCTGCGTGGATTGCGTTGGGAATGATCTAAGCCAGGGGTGTCAAACTCCAGTCCTGGAGGGCCGGAGTCCTGCACATTTTTGGGTTTCCCCTCATTTAACACACCTGATTCAACTCCTTGTGCTAATTACCACACAGCTCTTGAGCTGAATCCTTTGTGGTGGAACAGGGAAAGAGCTAAGTTACACAGGGCTCCGGCCCCCCAGGACTGGAGTTTGACACCCGTGGTCTAAGCCATCACAGCCATGTGTATAACTTTAAAGCAAGTTCTTCCCTCTTATAATGGCGATAAGTGGCTCTACAAGTTGTATCCATCACCAGAAGGTTGCCGGTTCAAATCCCATGGATGGCTTAGCGGATTCATTATTGGGCCCATGAGCAAAGCGCTTAATCCCAGTTATTCCAGGGACTGGCTGACCCTCCATTTTCAAAAATGTGCTTCACTTTCGATATAAGTGTCTGCTAAATGGGTGTATTATAACTAAACGTACTTTCGACTATCCATTAATAATTTCCACATAATATTGTTAATTTTAATGACAAGACAAGAAAAATTCGGGACAGTACAGATGGGGCGATGTTTGCGAAGGGAAACTCGGGTGTGGAAAGCGGCTTATGCGCAGTGCACGACCCACCTGTCCTGCCGGGAGGTGAGGTACCATGCCAGGTGGAAGGTCCAGAGCAGGGGCCCGGTGTAGGTACTGAAGGCCGTCAGCAGGAAGGCCGGCGCCTCCACGTAGGTCTCCAGTCCTATGAAGCCTGCTGAGATGTCCACCGTGCCGATGTTGTTGGAGTTACCCTGCGGAACAATGGGCTGGTCAGGATGACCTAATGCTGCTGAGCGAGGAGAACAGCGATGCTAATGCTAATAAACAGGACGCTGATGCTAATCGAAGCTGGCATCCTACACAGGCGTTGCTTAATTGGATATGCTTTTAACGAACGCAGTAGCATTAGCTTAATCGTGGTGGACACCAGGCCTGATTATAAAACTGTAAACTGCATGGCGGGTCGACAGACTTCAAAAGTCATTAGTTTCGTTTTACACATGGAAGGAGACCTCATGCACACAGGAGACCGCTCACAGACGGTACCCTTACCGTACCTTTAAGGATTCAGCTACTTCACAAGTTTAAATGTACTGTATAGGAATGTACCAACTGGCAGAAAGTGGGTGAAAAGGGGGGAGGCAGATGGTTACTTAAGGCCCCTGGTAGGAGGTCTTTCACAAAACAGCCCCTACGAGTACAGTGGTGGAGGTTGCTTCTCCACTCTGCCCATCTCTTACGAGGGTGCTGGTGACACCGGCAGGACGCCAAGTGTTCAATCCCTGTGTCCCCCCCCCCGACCTTTGTGATCCTGGTTCCAAACCCAGCGGGGGCAGAGCCAGTTCATTCACTGACCAGCGTTAACCATGTGGGCGCCCTTTCACTCGCCTGCAAATGACCCCTTGCCCCCCCCCCGCCCAAACACTTGCCACATGATTGTGCTCTCTGGTGTCTTTGTTCTGATTTATTAAAGCCAGTGGAGATGCGTGGGGGGCAGGCATAGCAACATTATGACTGGGGGTCGTCTGGGATCCGTCACAAATTGGGGCCGGGGCCATTGTTTTGTTCAGATGGGCATTTTCCAGGGCCTGCAATTTCATGCTTGGGCGGCTAATGCAGTAATAACCAAGCAATGGCATATTAATATCCCGCTATAAATATATCTGTATAATAATAATGACTGACACCGGAGAGTAGAGGATCAACTAAGTCTTAAAATGCAGGCAAAGAATATCCATTGCAGCAAGCCTGCGTGCGCTCAAATGAACGCTCAACACGACAGATCCAAAAGAGTGCCGAAACTCCACAAACCGTGGAGTCACTTGTAGGATCACCGGTAAGTTAGTGAGTAAAGCTTGGGGCCTAACAGAGACACCCCCCGATGGAATGAGACTGACAATACTGACTGAGACTGCAGGGAGCTGATGATGAGATTGAGGGAGCAGGGCTGTAAGGGATGTAAAAAGGGGAGGAACTGCAAAGATGAGGCTGCTGGGGCTTTGTCCCAGGGAGATTCGAGGATTTTTTTAAGGTATTGGGCATAAGAAAACACTTAAATGATATGGATTAGTGAACCGAGTCGCGTCGTTTATCCGGAGCATTTGCCAATAATATGTGTTGCATCGGTAAATAACAGGTGAAGAGGCCAATCAGTTTTCAGCTGGGGTCAATGCCCCTGTGGCCCCGCCCTTAGACTCGCCCCCTCCATACTCCGTACCTGGAAGTAAAAGAAGGCCTGGCCGAACCAATAGTGCATGATGGTGACCTGCGCTGTGTCGTACTGCAGGTCCCTCCAGATGAACCGGGTCATGGCCACCTGGATCAGCAGGCAGCCAGAGAGCACCGGCAGGTTGTGGGGTCGCGAGACTAGGGCAGCCAGCAGCACCAGGCCGGCGTACACCTCCCACAATCCCCTGCTCCTCAGTCCGCCATCCGCCACGGCCACCTGTGAGCGCAGGAGGTCCTTGGCGCCTGTGAACAGGATGCCGAGGACGAAGACGTAGACGAAGCGCGCCTCCAGGACGCCCCTTAGTAGTCGGGGGGGGGGGGGGGGGGGGGGGGGGGGAAAAAAAAAAAAAAAAAAAAAA